GTAGATGGATAGACAGAAAGATAAATAGATAGAGATGGATAGATGATGATGGATAGATAAGTAAATGGGGAAGAGAGAGGTGAAAGATGAAAGAGAGAGAGATGTGAATAAGGAATGGATGGATAGATAGAAAGAGGTAGATGGATAAGAAAGAAAGAAAGAAAGATGAGATAGATAGATAGATAGATAGATAGATAGATAGATAGATGATAGATAGATAGATAGATAGATAGATAGATAGATAGATAGATAGATAGATAGATAGATAGATAGGCAGGCAGGCAGGCAAGTAGGCAAGTAGGTAGATAGATACCGTAGATAGAGATGGATAAATGGATGATAGATATGTAAATAGAGGGAGAGAGAGAGAGAGAGAGAGAGAGATTCCTAACTACAGAGTCCTTGACTTTCAATGACTCATTTCGTGAACATTGAACGAGCACTGAAACAATGACTTATGACCAGTCCTCACATTTACAACCATTGTAACATTTTGATCAGGTCACCTGCTTAACATTTGGGCCCTGGACTTCCTTCCATGCTGTTCTTGCGACGGTTTCAGCCTCCTCCGTTCACCCCTTGTGCCCTTGCCAGCTGCCTTCTGACCCGCGAAGCCAACGGGGGGGGGGTGATAGCAGGGTTCCCTTAATGGCCACATGATTTGCTTAACTGCTGAAGGTATCCGCTTAACAACGGTGGCCATAAAATCTGCCTCACTTAACAACTGCCTGGCTCTGCAATGGAAAATCTGGTCTCCATTGTGGCCATAAGTCAAGGACTAGCTGTAACCGTTTTGTTACGCAATGTTTCTCTTTTTGTATTTCCAGGGAGTGATGAACCCCCTTGGACGCCGGCCCAGAGACCCCCTCCCCACCTGCAGACCCCAGGGTGGAGCACTGAGGGGTCCAATTTGAATGCATTCGCATGGAATGGATCATTGCAACCCCCTGCCTACGAAGAGCTCATGAAGCCAGGAAGAACCTCGGATCTGAGTTCGAGACAGGATGGCTTTCATCGGTAAGGCCCAGCTAGGAAGTCCCATTCAAGATATGGGTACAAAGCAGAGAGTGGCCCTTTCTAGGCTTGGTCAAGCGGTCAGCCTTGGTGTGAGCCTTGGGGGGAAATTTTATATTAAAATATATTTTATTCCTATTTTATTCTCTAGCGTCCCTTAAACATTAACAGAATCCACCATGGATTGAGAGGCAACGTCTCCGCTAGATAATTGTCAAGCTGAAACTAAGTCAATCAAGTAAAAATAGCAAACAGGGTAAATCTCGTACTCCAACTCCCTTAAAACCCCAACTAAATTACCTTGACCTAATCTACATATCAAAGGAGAAGGTCTGCAAACACAAATAGAGTTAATTAAATTAGGTCTCCCAGCGGAACTGCATGTTCACAAGAATAAACATCGCAGTGCCATGTACCTACACACATTCACACTCCTCAAGCCCACCCCAAGGACCCCTCCCCCTATAAAACAGCCTCTCCGTACCCCGTTTTCTCTGTAGCTGCCCTCACCAGCAAATCTCTTTGATTTGGGAAATAAAATAAATCTCCTTTCTTTACAGCTTGTCTGGATTTCATTCTGATCTGTTCTTGTGCAACCCTGGCATGGATTGGGACCCCAAATTATTCTTCTCACAGCCTCAAAGGCTACCTGAATGAAAAAACTGATCCACGCATGGATGCAATAAAGAAAAACGATTCAGCCAAAATTGTTGAGCAAGCTATTTTAACTAACTATAATAACTATAACAACTTGCCTCCAGAAGTTGTGAATGCTCCAACACGGGAAGTTTTTAAGAAGAGACTGGACAACCATTTATCTGAAGTGTGTAGGGTTTCCTGCCTAAGCAGGGGGGTGGACTAGAAGACCTCCAAGGTCCCTTCCAACTCTGTTATTCTATTCTATTCTATTCTATTCTATTCTATTCTATTCTATTCTATTCTAGCTTTCTAAGTGCATGGGTATTTTTAAAGACTTTTATGTTTTTAAAGGAGGGTCTTTTGGCTTCACGTGCACTCTTTCCTGGGCAGGTTACAGGAAGTCCTCTACTTATGACAGGTTGCTTAGTGACTGCCTGAAATTTTGAGGGCACCCCCACCCCCAGGGCCATGGGATGGCATGTCAGGGGCTGGGCAATTGGCCTCCACCTACAGCCATTTGTAGTATCTTGCAAGTCGTTGAATCACATTGTGCAACATCTCTGTGGGAAACCATCATTCATGGCAAAACTGGCCCCTAGCAATCAATTTGTTTATTTATTTATTTATTGGTTCAATTTATATGCCGCCCTTCTCCGGAGCCTCAGGGCGGCTTACAATGTCTTAAGCAATAGCCTTCATACTTTTGTATATACCTGCTTAGTAGGGCTTTTGCTCCCCCACAAGGGGTGTTCTTTTTTATACAAAGTCAGCTTATTGCCCCCACAATCCGGGTCCTCATTTTACCTACCTCGGAAGGATGGAAGGCTGAGTCAACCTTGAGCCTGGTGAGATTTGAACTTGCAGTAATTGCAGGCAGCTGGTGCTACTTAACAGCACTTTAGTCTGCTGCGCCACCAAGGCTCTAATGACCTCAGCATTCACTTAACGATCACCGCAAAAAAAAAACAAAAAAAAAACCTGGTAAAATTGGGTCAGTTGTGAGAGTGATCCATTTTGCAACCATTGTGATTGTGATGGGAAGAGAAGAGTAACACAGATGATGAGGGGACTGGAGGATAAAATATACAATGGTTGCAGGAATTGGGTAGGTCTACTTTAATGAAAAGAAGGAGTAGGGGGGAGTTGATAGCAATATTTTAATATTTGAGGGGCTGCCCCAAAAAAGAGGCAGTCCATCTATTCTCCAAAGCACCTGAAGGGCAGCACAAGAAGCAACGGATGGAAACTAAGCAAGGAAAGAAGCAACTTAGAACTAAAGAGAAATTTCCTGACAGTGAGAACAATTAACCAGTGGAACAGCTTGCCACCAGAAGTTGTGAGTGCCATTTGTCCAGGATGGTGTAAGATCTCCTGCTTGGTCAGGGGGTTGGACTAGATGACCTCTGAGGTCCCTTCAAGTCCGATGAGTCTACGTTCTAAAAGGCTTTAACAGCTGACTTTCTTTGGCATGGAAACAAGCATGAAATGCAATGACCCTTAGAACCCGAGTAAATCACCCTAGGATGTCCTTCTGGAGTCAGAACCACTTCCAGGCATCAAATCCCAAGGTTAAAATGTCAATATTTTTTCCAGCTTCGTGCAGTATACTTTCACCAAAAAGAATAGAGAAATCCTGGCTCAGAAAAGGGGAACTTATTTTCTGAGCTCTGAAATCACCACTTTTTTTTTAAGCCTGCAGGGTGGGGGTGGGAGCATTTTCCCCTTTCCTGTCCACCCTCCCTCTGTCCATCAGTCATAGGTTGTATTATTTGCAGAACATCCATCTCTGGGGTAGCCTTTTTTCATTTTTATTCAGGATGGAGTGATTTGGGGAGGGCAGTGCAGATTGTTGACACCAGATCTGGCCTTCTTGGCTGCTTCTGGGAAAAGGGAGTTTTGCAGCTCAGTGTATTATTTATTTTTCCATCACACATAGAACCCACTCACTCCTGGGGAAATTAACCTATGGGAGGTTACTTGTGTCCCCGCCCCAAGCTGTGGGGTTCTTGGGGTCTCTGAGGTTGGCTGTTTTCTTACAGATGTTTCATGACCCAAAGAGGGAATATCATCAGTGCTAGAAGGGAAGAGGAGGAGGAGGAGGAGGAGGAGGAAGAGGTGGAGGAGGAGGTGGAGGAAGAGGAGGAAGGAGGAGGAAAAAGAGGAGGAGGAGGAAGGAGGAGGAGGAGGAAGAAGAGGAGGAAGAGGAGGAAGGAGGAGGAAGAGGAGGAGGAGGAGGAAGAGAAGAGGAGGAGGAAGAGGAGGAGAAGGAGGAAGAGGAGGAAGAAGAGGAGGAAGAGGAAGAGGAAGAAGGAGGAGGAGGAAGAGGAGGAGGAAGAAAAGGAGGAGGAGGAAGGAGGAGGAGGAAGAAGAGGAGGAGGAGAAGAGGAAGAGGAGGAGGAAGAGGAGGAAGAAGAGGAAGAGGAGGAAGGAGGAGGAGGAAGAGGAGGAGGAGGAAGGAGGAAGAGGAGGAGGAAGAAGAGGAGGAGAGGAAGAAGAGGAGGAGGAGGAAGGAGGAGGAGGAAGAGGAGGAAGGAGGAAGAGGAGGAGGAAGAAGAGGAGAGGAAGAAGAGGAGGAGGAGGAAGAGGAGGAAGGAAGAGGAGGAAGAAGAGGAGAAGAGGAGGAGAAGGACTGTGGGGTCCTTGGTGGTCTCTAAGCTTGGGTGCTTTCTTGCAGACATTTCATGACCCAACTAAGTAATATCATCAGTGCTAGAAAGGAGGAGGAGGAGGAAGAGAAGGACTTTGGGGTCCTTGGTACTCAGAGAGTTGTTCGGCTGTTCCCTTGCAGACCTTTCCTTACCCATCCTGAGTGCTGGAAGGGAGAGGGTATGTGGAGAGGAGGAGGAGGAGAAGGGACTGTGATGTCCTTCATACTCTCTGAGTTTAAGCAAACCATCGCAGTTGTTAAGTGAGTCATGTGGTCATTAAACAAATCCAGCTTCCCCAGCGGTGAAATGCTATCGGTTCATGCGTACCAGTAGTGATAAACCACGCATGAACCACGCATGCGCAGGCAACGAACTGGTGGCAAACCGGGGAAGATTTCACCACGGAGCTTCCCCCATAACTTTTCTTGTCGCGAGCCCCCTGGGAAAGTCTCAAATGGCAATCACAGGAGCCCAGGACACCGAAAGCGCCCTAAATCCATGTGCAAAGTATCCAAATTTCAATCACACGACGGGGGGAGGGGTGCAGCAGTGGTCGCAAGTACGAGGACTGGTTGCAAGTCGCTTTCTCCAGGGCTGTTGTAACTTTGGGTGGCTGCTAAATGGATGCTTTGCAGGTCAAGGAGCCCAGCCTGCTGAATTGGGGCAGGAGATAAATTGCCCACATAAATCACATCCCTAAACTGTGATGTCAATTTCCTTCCTAACAGGGAACTTAATTGAGACACTAAGTAGGTAATATAAGCCAGTTGGCTGTCCACATTTCAAAAACAGGAGCCAGCCAATGCAAAGTTTACTCAAACGCGGTTAGATAATCTGGGTTTTTTAAAGGAGCTGCGTAACCAAGGCAACTAAAATAAATTCAGAGGTAAGGAACACTATGATCCATATGTATTTATTCATTACATTTTTTTTTTAAAAGCTAACAATCTCGGGGTAAAACACAACCTGTCTGCTTCTCTTTCACTTTGAGAAAACAACATTTCTGAAATCATACAAGATGAGGTCAACTAAGGTGAGGAACAAGAATCCAGGAGAAGAGAATAAATCGCCATTCCCAAGAAATTGACATCGGACGCTAATTCTTTGGTTGCAAAATCATTGTTTGAGAAGGGAAGTTTGAATTCACATCGAGGGAAACACACTCTGCTGAGTTTGCATCATACAATGTGCAAACAGATTCATTTTTTAAATTATAGAAATAGAATAACCGAGTTGGAAGGGACCTTGGAGGTTTTCTAGTCCAACCCCCTGCCCAGGCAGGAAACCCTACACCACTTCAGACAAATGGTTATCCAACATCTTCTTAAAAATTTCCACTGTTGGAGCATCCACAACTTCTGGAGGCAAGTTGTTCCACCGATTAATTGTTCTCAGAAAATTTCTCCTTAGTTCTAGGTTGCTTCTCTCCTTGATGAGTTTCCACCCATTGCTTCTTGTCCTAACCTTCAGGTGCTTTGGAGAATAGCTTGACTGCCTCTTCTTTGGGGCAGCCCCTGAGATATTGAAACCCTGCTATCATGTCTCCCCTAGTCCTTCTTTTCATTAAACTAGACATACCCAGTTCCTGCAACCGTTCGTCCTATGTTTTAGCCTCCAGTCCCCTAATCCTCTTGGTTGCTCTTCTCTGCACTCTTTCTAGAGTCTCAACACCTTTTTTATATCATGGCGACCAGAGGTGGGTTTCAGCAGGTTCTGACCAGTTCTGGAGAACCGGTAGCGGAAAGTTTGAGTAGTTTGGAGAACCGGTAGTAAAAATTCTGACTGGCCTCACCCCCATCTATTCTCTGCCTCCCAAGTCCCAGCTGCTTGGGATGAAATGGGGATTTTGCAATAACCTTCCCCTGGAGTGGGGTGGGAATGGAGATTTTGCATATCCTTCCCATTCCACACCCATGCCACGCCTACCAAGCCATGCCACGCCCACTAAGCCACACCCACAAGACCGGTAGTAAAAAATTTTGAAACCCACCACTGGTGGCAACCAAAACTGAATGCAGTATTCGAAGTGTGGCCTTACCAGGGCATTATAAAGTGGCATTAACACTTTTAACGTGATCTTGATTCTCTCCCTCTGTTTATGCAGCCCAGAACTGTGTTGGCTTTTTTGGCAGCTGCTGCACACAGCTGGCTCATATCTAAATGATTGTCCACTAGGACTCCAAGATCCCTCTCATAGTTACTACTATTGAGCCAGGTACCACATATACGGTACCTGTGCATTTGGTTTTTCTTCCCTAAATGTAGAACCTTCCTTTTTTCACCCTTGAATTTCATTTTGTGAGATAGCGCCCAATGTTCAAGTCTGTCCAGATCCTTCTGTATCTTGAGCCTTTATCTTCTGGAGTGTCAGCTATTCCTGCCAGCTTGGTGTCATCTGCAAATTTGATGAGTTCCCCATCTATCCCCTCATCCAAGTCATCGATGAAGACGTTGATTATGGTTGAATGCAATGGTTCTCAAGCTTGGCCCCTTTAAGAGGGGTGGACTTCAACTCCCAGAATTCCCTAGCCAAAGCTGGCTGAGGAATTCTGGGAGTTGAAGTCCACCCCTCTTAAAGGGGCCAAGCCTGAGAAACACTGTCTTAATGGGATAACTGATTCTCACAACAAAATAAACCACAAACAAGCCGGCTTCATTTTCATTCAAGTTTGTGCGTTGGGTGGATCTTACCAACTCCCATTTCCCAATGTAGGAGGTAGTCCTTAACTTTCAACCATTCGTTTAGTGACCATTCAAAGATGCAACATCACTGAAATAAACTTGCATATCTCTTATTTAGGCTGATTTTTTTCACGTTCCCTTCCATAAATTTAATCCATTGCATCATTTGAAATCTGTTTTAAAAAAAACAAAAAAAAAAAACATTGAAGGTTCGTATTATTTTGAGACACGCTGCTCCAAATAGACATATTTTCTGAGCAACTTCATCATGCAAATTGTTCTGGGCTAACCGTTTTTCGGAAGGCACGAAAGGGAAGATTCTGGGGTCAAAACATCCGAATCTACCTAATCCGATTGGAGTCTTGGCAAATGGCATTGCAAAATTTGGAGGAAGAGCAGTCTGGAGAGGGAGAAAAGGAGCCTCACCCCAGATGAAAAATGCAGAAACGCAGCCATGCGAACTAATTCTGGGTGCAGGAAGCAGGCAAGTGAGAGGACGCCGCCTACTTAAATCTCTATCAACCCAGAGGTAGGAAAATTCTCTGGCTTCCTGGATGAAAAACCTCCATCTTTGGGCGATGAAATACGGCAAGGGTGTTTCTTGCATTACAGGGCTCGTTAAGCAACATAACTTTAAAGACTCAGGATGGAGAACTTGCCAGCAGGTCTTTAAGGAGCCCCTTCATTCTGAAGACTTTCGGAGCCTGTCTTGTGCCCCCCCTCCTCATCCTTACACCCGGTGTCCCTTGCGTACATCTTGGCCGTGGCGGTCGGCACAGACGGATGGCAGGAGAGAGTCATGGCAGGAGGCAGGTAAACCTTCTGTAAAGCACCAGGATGGAAGTCCTTCTCTGAGTTGGCATCTAAGAACCAGGAGACAAAAGACAGAGACATGGCTTTTAGCAAACCAGCAATAATTGGGCCTTGTAGTATCTGTGGCTCTTGGACAGTGGTCTCCAAAGTTGGCAACTTTAAAACTTGTGGACTTAAGACCCAGAAGTCTTAAAGTTGCCAACTTTGGAGACCCCTGCTCTTGGAGTAAGAGGCTATCCAGGGGTAGGCAGGACAGCCAAGAGAAAATATGCTACAGCACATGTAGGTAGCCAAATGTAGAGGGTGGGCAGCTCTTTAAAGTAGCTGCCTCTATCATTGTCACGTGGTTTGGAAGACGTGCAGTTATGATAAAGCCGTGTTTTTCTATCTTGGTATCTTTAAGATATGTGGACTTCAGCTCCCATAATTCCTCAGCCAGCATAGGCAGCTAGCCAAACATAGATTTTCCATAGCTCTTTAAAGCAGCTGCTTCTATAATTGTCATATGAATCTGGGAAGAAGTCCAGTTGCGATAAAGCAGCATTTTCCCACCTGGGCAATTTAAGGAAGAGGAGGAGGAGGAGGAGGAGGAGGAGGAGGAGGAGGAGGAGGAGGATGGGGAGGAAGAGGAGTGAGGGTCTTTGATGCTTCCTGAGCTTGTTTGTTTTCCTGCCGACGTTTCATTACCCAGACTAGGTAACATCATCAGTGCTAGGAGGAAGGGGGTTTGCACTCATTTTATATTCTACGAGCACTGATGATGTTACCTAGTTGGGTCATGAAACGCCTGCAAGGAAACCACCAACCAAGCTCAGAGAGCACTAAGGACCCTTGGTGTCAACCCTGAGCTACGAATATTCTCCTCTCTTAGTGTCAGCGTCTCACCGCTGGCATAGAGAGGAGAGAGATAAGCCCTGAACTTTTGCCTGCTAAATCCCTTTGAAGCCCGGTCGTCGTGGAAATGAGGAGGGGGGAGACATTCCTGTGAAATGACGAGACAAGAAGTCAGTGGAGTGACTTGGAAGATAGCCAATGAGAAGCAGATAATTGGGGATCGGAAAGGGAGGGATTGGGGGGCAAAAGGTCAGTCTTGTCCGCATCGAGTCATGATCCGGTGGCTGTGCTCAATTAAAGAGAAGATTTCCTTAAAGATTGGCAGTTTGGAAATTCATTTATTATGAGATAGCATCGAAGTCTGACACTTAGTATCTTAGCTCACCTTGGAGAAGGCGCCCGCAGCAGGTTAAGAAGGCACCGGCTAGGAAGCATCCCAAGGAACCACTCAGCCCGAGCCAGCAAGACCAGCCAAACTTATATTGGATGCCCACGAAGACATTATGCAAGACCAGGGTGGAGCGCTCCACGTAGACCTCAATGGCGTACCACGTGGAGCCAATGAATCCAGGAATACCTGTGAAAGAGGGAGGGAGGGAAGCTGTAGTGTCCACTATCCAGAATTAAACAGCCAGGGTTGGAAGTTACTTGAAGGTCTTCTCATCCAGCCCTTGCTGAAAGAAGGCCTCCTCAGATCATCTCACACCATAAATGGAGCCCCCAGGACTCCAGGAGGCCATTCCAGGTCCTTACTGGATCCATCCATTCATCTCAGAAGCAACACGGCTTCTTCTTCAAGGTCCGTTGAACGATGCCATGAATGGGAGAAGGATTTCTGGGAGTGTGGCCCTGTGTAACCCCCCCATATCTACTCTACTACGACCCCGCCCCCCCTCGGGACCAGACCCTGTGGGCCAAACTACCTCCTGTTAAGAGCGCCAAGCCAGAGATGAAGCAGATACGGTTTTTGATCCCTGGTTCATCCAGGAGGAACTTCACACAGTCCAGGCCCAGGAGGAGAAACACGAATCCGAGCCCGGACAGAAGGTCAGCAGTGATCAGCAGAACTCGGGTCAGGACCAGCTTCACTGCAAAAGAAGCAGGGTGGGTTGGGGTAAAGAAGGTGGGTGGCACCCCTCCCCTACTCTGGGTGCAGCCCTGAACATGATGTTCTCCATCTTGGAAGGAGATCTTTGGATGAAGGATTAGAATAGAATAACAGAGTTGGAAGGGACCTTGGAGGTCTTCTAGTCCAACCCCCTGCTCAGACTGGAAAGCCCTATCCCCATGATGGTGAACCTATGGCACATGTGCCACAGGTGGCACGCAGAGCCATATCGGTGGGCACACGAGCTCAGCTCTGGCACGTATGCGTGCACCGGCCAGCTGATATTCGGGCCTCCTGGGCCCACCGGAAGTCAGCAAATGGGCCATTTTCAAGGTCGTAAAATGGGGGCAAAACTCACTTAACAACGGTCTCACCCAGCAATGGAAATTTTGGGCGCCATTGTGGTCATAAGTAGAGGACTTCCTGTGTAGATGACCTCCTGGGTCCCTGTGAACCCTCACCTTCAGGGCAAGCCCACCTACCTGGGTGCTCAGCGAAGATGGAGTCGTATTCGTCACAGGTGGTTATCCCATCGAAGGCATTGGTGACGCACTCCCACCAGAGGCCACGGCACGTGGCACTTACCTAGAGGAGAGGAAGCCGTGGTTATTTCTCTGGCTGTTACAATTCCACTGTTTGGGAAACCAGCGTTGCCTTCACACCACTGGATTAACCCGGCTGTTGATCTAACCAACCTTTTCTCTGCTGTAAGGTCCAAAAATGCACTTGAGTCACCAGAATGCCAAAATAGGACTCAGGAAGAGGTTTGAAAAAGTACACAGAAGAGCTGGGGGAAACTATCTCCACAACATACAGGCAGGAAACATACAGAACCAACAATGTCTGGCGGCAGCCAAAAAAGCCCATGCAATCCTAAACTGCATTAACAGAGGGATTCAATCAAGATCAAGGGAGGCACTAATACCACTCTATAAAGCCCTAGTAAGGCCACACCTAGAATCCTGCATCCAGTTTTGGTCACCATGATGTAAAAAAAGATGTGGAGACTCTAGAAAAAGTGCAGAGAAGAGCAACCAGGATCATGAAGGGACTGGAGGCTCTAAAACAGTGATGGGTTGCTACCGGTTCTCCCCGGTTCTTGCGAACCGGTAGTGGAAATTTTTGAGTAGTTCAGAGAACCGGTAAATACCACCTCTGCCTGGCCCTGCCCCCAATCTATTCGCTGCCTCCAGAGTCCCAGCTGATCGGCTAGATGGAAAAAATCAGGGCTCACTTGACAAAGAAAAGAAAAAAAAACAAGACACCGTAGCTTTAAATTGAGAAGCCAAGAAGCCTCCCAGCTGATCGGCTAGAACCGATCCGCTCCTTGGAAACCGCTCGGTGGTGGTAGATTGGCAATTGAGGCCAAGCTGCCTGCAAGCGGTTTCCGATGCTCTCGGTGGTGGCAGAGCGGCAAAAAACTGTTTAAACTCTTGCCACAGCACTTCAAAGGGCCGCCCTGCAGCTGATCAGCGGTAAACGGCCGTGTGGTGGTAGACCAGGGCGCTCCAAGAACAAATAGATAGACCGGTACGGCTCTGCAAGCAGTTAAAATCCTGGTAGACCAGAACCTCTGCTCAATCCTAAAGAATTGTTTGTCACATGACCATCGAACCACGCCCACAAAATAAGCCACGCCCACAGAACCGGTAGTAAAAAAATTTAGAACCCACGCCTGCTCTAAAACATACGATGAACGGTTGCAGGAACTGGGCCTGGCTAGTCTAGTGAAGAGAAGGACCAGGGGAGACAGGAGAGCATCTTCCAATATTTGAGGGGCTGCCCCAGAGAGGAGGAAGGGGGTCAAGCTATTTTCCAAAGCACCCGAAGGCCAGACAAGGAATAATGGATGGAAACTGAACAAGGAGAGATTCAACCTGGAAATAAGGAGGAATTTCCTGACAGTGAGAACAATCAACCCATGGAACAGAAGTTGCCTTCAGAAGTTGTGGGAGCTTCATCACTGGAGGCTTTCAAGAAAAGATTGGACTTCCATTTGTCAGAAATGGTGTAGGGTCTCCTGCTTGGGCAGAGGGGGTTGGGCTAGATGACCTCCAAGGTCCCTTCCAACTCTGTTAATCTGTAAATCTAGAAAGCATGTAAGGAAAAAGCCACGCCTAAGTGGGTGTAGCCCCAATGTCTTATACCGGTACCCAAATTTAGCCAGTGAGAGAGAAAAGTTTGTTACCCAACATGACAATGTCTTGCCCATATCTCCCCCCACCCTTTATCCATGGAGCATTCTTTGCCCACGCTTTTTGTTATCTTGCAGAGCATGCCTTGTAGCCTTGGGTGTCCGTGCTCCCAGGCAGCCCCCTGCTCTGCCCCCATTTATCTACGGGGCAGGATGTTCCTGGGTAACTGTTGTGACCAAGGCCCAAATAGTGATTACCAAACACAATTCAGTCCTCAACAAACTTATTTTATTAAAACAGCTGAGAATTAATTCATTCTCCGCTTAGTCCAAAACAAAATTCTTCATAACCAGCCCTTCGGCCTTATCACCAACCTTTGATGTCTTTGGCAACCTGCCAAAGGCTTTTCTTGGCAAAACCCCCCAAAAAGTTCAAGAGACGCTGACAAGAAGCACGGGAATCAACGTTGCTTTCCTACACAGATCCCAAGAGCTGTTGCTGCTCTTTTAAACCTTATGGGAGGGTCCAATCATCTCCAGGCCTTACTCCTGAGTCGTCCCTTTTGCTTTAGCTGTTCTTGCCTTCTGGCAGCTCTGCGCATGCGCGCACTAGGAACAGGCTCCTCCTGTTCCTCTGCCTCTCTGCTGTCCGACTCTGGGGTCTCTAGAGTCCGTGCATCACTCCCAAATGGCCCTGGCCCCATCTCTGCCTCCGATGCAGAGCCCTCGTCCGAGCCTTTCCCAGCCTCCAGGACTGGCCCATGCCAGTTCCCAGGACTGTCCACTGCCAGGTCCAAAGGCTGCTAGCGGAGCACAACACTCCCTACTCTGCCTTTCTTATTTACTCTCCAAGGATGTGCCTAGCTTTGAAGCGAACAAAGAGAAGCGAGAAACCAGAAAGCAAAGGATACAATTCTTAACAAGCGAAGTTTATAGAATTAATTCCTAACAAATAATTCCTAACCGTAGCAAAATAGCACAAGCAACTCTTAACAGAAGCAAAGAGCAAAGGTTCGGTTGATTCGTGTCCCTGGGTCCTTTCAGTGCATTCACACAATACCCCCAAAGCAGGAGCTGAGCCATCATGGCTGCGTTTTAGACGCAACGCGCGCTAAGCCAACCTCCCCTCCCCAAATTTGAATCAAAGTTAAGAGGTTGTGTGTGACCGCCTCTGCTGGGCTTTATTGGAGGTAGAAAATTACGCTGTGTGAACCAGCGGCCACGAAGGAGAGGAGAGAATCACAACGGCAAGGAAGGTGTGAATGGCACCTGAAGAGGGAAAACATGGAGCTCACATCTTAGCAAAGGCCAAATTAGAATTGGAAGCGGCCAGCTCATTGAAGGCAAGAAATAAAATTCTGCTTGCAAAAGACCAGGAGGTTTTGATATTGGGGAAACCAGTTTATTTTGGCTGGTGAAAACCCCTAACCCTAACCCTGCCCCACATCTCTCTAGCTGCTCCCAGTATCATAGAATCTTAGGGCTGGAAGGGTCCTTGGAGGTCTTCTAGTCCAACCCCCTGGTCAAGCAAGAGGCCCTGTACCATTCTGAACAAATGGCTGTCCAATCTCTTCTGGAAACCTCCAGGGATGGAGCACCCATAACTTCCGAAGGCAACTTCCCTTCCACTGGACAACTGTCTCTCTTAGCAACAGACATTTTGGGCTCAGTTGTGGTCGCAAGTCGAGGACTACCTGAATAGTATCAATGGGATTCAGTGAGAACAATTAACCAGTGGAACAGCTTGCCACCTGAAGTTGTGCGTGCTCCAATACTGGAGGTTTTTAAGAAGAGATTGGAGAAGCCACTTGTCTGAAATGGTAGAGGGTCTCCTTCTTGAGAAGGGGGTTGGACTAGAAGACCTCCAAGGTCCCTTCCAGCTCTATTCTAATTGATTGATTCAGGTGTCTTTTTTCAATTTTTGTTAAGCAAGTAGAAGCGGGGCTTAAATTAAGCTCGATAAGAAGAAGTGTGAGAGAGGAAATCCCCCTTTTCTTCCCCCCCCCCAGCCAGCCTCTCCTGGGCTGCCCCTTCTGCCGTCATGGCCCTTGAAAAGCCCCTCTTGGAAGGGAGCCGAGGTCAACCCCCACCCGCAATCTTTAGAGAGCCAATGGACCAGGGAAGTGCGAAAAGTAACTCAATCTGTCAGGAATTAACACCGCCGGCCCTACTTGCAGTGGCCGTTTAGCTTTCACACTTGAGCAGGGAAGTGTGAAATGTGGAGGCTGGCAACCAGCCTCAAGGGCAGGTTAATGAGGCTGGCAGAGGGTGGCGGGCATCACATGGGCCGTTCAACGGGGAGGCCAAGGTTAAAAAAGACCTCCGAGGACTCCAACGATCGTCAGCGCACAGCTTCCCAAGCGGGTTCTGCAATTTCTTTGTGCTTCCTTACAGAATATAGAATAACAGAGTGGGAAGGGACCTTGGAGGTCCTCTAGTCCAACCCCCTGATCAAGCAGGAGACCTGAGACCATTTCAGACAAGTGGCTGTCCAGTCTGTTCTTAAAAACCTCCAGTGATAGAGCATGTACAACTTCTGGAGGCAAGCAGTTCCACTGGTTAATTGTTCTCACTGTTAAGAAATTTCTCCTTAATTCCAGGCTGCTTCTCTTCTTGACGAGCTTCCATCTATTGCTTTTTGTCCTGCCTTCTGTTGCTTTGAAGAACAGCCTGACACCCCCTCCTCTTTGTGACAGACCCTCAAATACTGGAAGATTGTTATCATGTCACCCCTAGTCCTTCTCTTTATTAGACCATAAAGCATGATATAAAAAGATGCTGAGACTCTGGAAAGAGTGCAGAGAAGAGCAACCAGGATGATGAGGGGATTGGAGGCTAAAACATACAATGAACGGTTGCAGGAACCGGGCGTGGCTGGTCTAGTGAAGAAAAGGATCAGGGTGACTTGATAGCAATCTTCCAATATTTGAGGGGCTTCAACAAAGAAGAGGGGGAATCAACTTATTTTCATTTTAAAAGATAAGTTGTCAGATCAATATGGGATACCATTAGAATAGAATAGAATAGAATAGAATAGAATAGAATAGAATAGAATAGAATAGAATAGAATAGAATAGAATAGAATAGAATAGAATAGAATAACAGAGTTGGAAGGGACCTTGGAGGTCTTCTAGTCCAACCCCCTGCCCAGGCAGGAAACCCTACACCACTTCAGACAAATGGTTATCCAACATCTTCTTAAAAACTTCCAGTGTTGGAGCAACTACAACTTCTGGTGGCAAGCTGTTCCACTGATTAATTGTTCTCACTGTCAGGAAATTTCTCCTTAGTTCTAAGTTGCTTCTCTCCTTGATGAGTTTCCACCCGTTGCTTCTTATCCTGCCTTCAGGTGCTTTGGAGAAGAGCTTGCCTTCTTCTTTGGGGCAGCCCCTGAGATATTGGAAGACTGCGATCATGTCTCCCCTTAGTCCTTCTCTTCATTAAACTAGCCATGCCCAGTTCCTGCAACCATTCTTCCTATGTTTCAGCCTCCAGTCCCCTAATCATCTTGGTTGCTCTTCTCTGCACTCTTTCCAGAGTCTCCACATCTTTTTTACATCGTGGCAACCAAAACTGGATGGAGTATCCCAAGTGTGGCCTTATCAGGGCCTTATAAAGTGGCATTAACACTTCAGGTGATCTTGATTCTCTCCCTCTGTTGATGCAGCCCAGAACTGTGTTGGCTTTTTTGGCGGCTGCTGCACACGGCTGGCTCCTATCTAAATGATTGTCCACCAGGACTCCAAGGTGCCTCTCACAGTTACTGTTATTGAGCCAGGCACCACATATATGGTACCTGTGCATTTTGTTTTTCTTGCCTAAATGTAGAACCTTGCTTTTTTCTCTGTTGAATTTCATTTTGTGAGATAGCACCCAATGTTCAAGTCTGTCCAGATCCTTCTGTATCTTGAGCCTTTATCTTCTGGAGTGTTGGCTACTCCTGTCAGCTTGGTGTCGTCTGCAAATTTGATGAGTTCCCCATCTATCCCCTCATCCAAGTCATCGATGAAGACGTTGAAGAGTCCTGGGCCTAAAACAGAGCCCTGGGGTTCCCCACTGCATACTTCCCTCCACGGAGGTGCAGTTCCATTGAGGATGAATAATAATATTGGAGAGGCAATCCTAGCGATGTAAACATTGAGTTTGATGGGATGGCAGTGGAAACCATGACAATAATAATAACAATAACATCCTGTTGATATCCATGAGACTTTATTTTATTTATTTATTTGATTTGATTTATATGCCGCCTTATCTCCTTAGGACTCAGGGCGGCTCACAACAATAAAATATCCGAATAAAAGCGTGTTAAAATACATGTTAACCCCCCCAGTCCAGGCTGAACAACCATGTCTTTAAGTCGTGGCGGAAGGTGCGGAGGTCAGGGGCCAACCGGAGCCCCTGGGAGAGTTGGTTCCAGAGGGTGGGAGCACCCACAGAGAAAGCTCTACTTCTGGGGGCCGCCAGCCGACATTGTCTAGCCGACGGCACCCTGAGTAGGCCCTCCCTGTGAGAACGCACCGGGCGATGGGGAGCTGTTGCTGGTTGCAGATGGTCCGACAGATATCCTGGGCCTAAGCCATGTAGGGCTTTATAGGTCATCACCAGCACCTTGAATCTCACCCGGAGGGCAACCGGCAGCCAATGCAAGTCGCGCAGGAGAGGCGTAACATGGGCGTATCGGGACCCTCCCATCACGACCCACACGGCTGCATTCTGTACCAGCTGAAGCCTCCGGATGGTCCTCAAGGGCAGCCCTAGGCAGAGAGCGTTGCAGTAGTCAATACGGGAGGTGACTAGCGCATGAGTAGCTGTGCGTAGGGCATCCCGGTCCAAATAAGGGCGCAACTGGCACACCAGGCAGACCTGGGCAAACGCCCCCCTGGTCACGGCCGTTATATGATCTTCTAAACTCAACCGTGAATCCAGGAGGACACCCAAATTGCGTGCCCTGTCTACCGGGGGTAACACCTCATCCCCTATAGACAAAGATGGAACCTCTAGATCGGACCGGGATGCCGGTACCCACAGCCACTCGGTCTTGGCAGGGTTGAGCCGAAGCCTGTTCCTCCCCATCCAGATCCGTACCACCTCCAGGCACCGGAACATCACGTCGAGGGCATCACTGGGCTGGTTCGGGGTGGATATAAAAAGCTGGGTATCATCAGCGTACTGATGATACCTCACCCCGAAACCACGGATGATCTCTCCCAGCGGCTTCATATAAATGTTGAACAGAAGAGGCGAGAGGACCGACCCCTGGGGCACCCCACAAGTGAGGGGCTTGGTGGGATAATGCAAAGCCGGATCTAAACAAATAGATTTTTCTATTTTTTTTATAGAAAATTCTATATTTTCTGGGATGGTCCCTGTGGCTTTGACACCTGCATGGTAGGCTGAAATTCAACGGGTAACTTTTCTGTTTGTTGCCAAATTTCACCTTCCATGAAGGAAACACAATAATTCCAGTCCCAAAGCAGAGACAGAGAATTTCTGGAGATTAGCAACTTCAAGAAGTAGGGGAGGGACTTGGCTGGCTGGGGGATTCTGGGAGTTGAAGTTCACCCATCTTGAAGTTGCTAAACCTGAGAGACATTAGATCAATAAGAACATCCCCTTCCTTCCTTCCTTCCTTCTTTTCTTCCTTCCTTCCTTCCTTCCTTTCTTTCTTTTCCTTCCTTCCTTCCTCCCTCCTTTTTTCCTTCCTCCCTTGTTTCTTTTCCTTCCTTCCTTCCTTCCTTCCTTCCTTCCTTCCTTCCTTCCTTCCTTCCTTCCTTCCTTCTTTCTTTCTTTCTTTCTTTCTTTCTTTCTTTCTTTCTTTCTTTCTGTTCCTTCCTTCCTCTTTCTTCAAGAGTTACTTCAAGGTAACTCTGGGTGGCTTACCATTATATAATATATAAACTAAAAACATAAATAAAATAGTACAAAATCCCAAAACTGCATCCCAAGTTAAAAAATCGCCAGGACTTCACGGAATAAAGCAAGCTGGCTCTCGACCAATGGCCTCAGCTCTATATTTTCTGGGCTGGTCCCTATTCCTCCGACACCTGCATGTCAGGCTGAAATCCAACCGGTAATGTTTCCTTTTGCTGCTGCTTTTCCTTTCGCACCTGGGAGAGACTTCCAAGGACTAACTGGTCTTTTGCCAGCAAGAACATCCAAGAATCCAACCGTTGCGTGGGCTTACACACACACACACACACACACACACACACACACACACAGAGAGAGAGAGAGAGAGAGAGAGAGAGAGAGAGAGAGAGAGAGAGAGAGAGAGAAATACACACCGGATGCCAGTGGGTCCTTACCTCCAGGGAGTCGTCTGTGTTGACCATCCAACAATCCGTCCAGGTGGCTGCGATGAGGAGCCCCACTGAGAGGAAGGCTGAGAAGCAGCCCAGATACTGGAGCAGAACCCTCATGTTCTCTGCCAGGGAGACCCTGGCCTGTCTCTAGGGCGAAACCTCCCTCCCTCTTCCAGCTGATGGACACTGACCAATGGCCCCACAGTCCCGTGCCTGGGAGGAAGAGGAGGAGGGCCCTGGCAGGGTGCGGAGCAGCCAGGAGGGGGTGGGGGCATGCACCCGGGCATGTGCCTGCATTAAAGTCCTCCTTAATTGGCCAGGTTTTGCTCAGCCTCAGGTGGACTCACCTGGCGGATCCAGGAGTTTTCTGGAGAGGAGCTGGCCACTTCCAGGGAAAGTTTAGGTCACATGTGCAAAGGCAGGTCAACCCCAGACGATGCCTCCATGCCATTGGCAAAGCTCAGGCAGTGCCAACCTGAACAGAATTACAGAAGAGCTGAATAAAGCAGAAGAACAGAATAAAACGGAACAGAACAAAACAAAACAGAATACTGGAATAAAACGGAATAACAGCATAACAATAAAACAGAATAACCAAATAAAACAGAGTAACAATTAACAGAAAAAAAACCAGAATAACAGAATAACAACAGAATAAAGCAGAACAGAACAAAACAGAATAACAGAATAACAATAAAAAAGAATAACCAAATAAAACAGAATAACATTTAACAGAATAAAACAGAATAAGAGAATAAGAATAACAGAACAGAACAGAAAAGAATAACTTTATTGTCACTTTGAATGTACACTAATCGGCATACATTAAAATGAAATGTCATTGCATTCAACTTTCAAAGGCTCACCGCCTCCAATATACACCACCTAAAATGATAAATAAATACAAAATTATGTATATGCTCACATATATTATATGAAACACAGAGAAACAAACAACAAAAATCATAAAGTACTTTTTTTTCCCCCTGTCTGTTTTAGTTGATTTGAAACCCATTTCGGCCAAGTGGGGCAGAAGGGAAGCCGAACCCCAAAGCTAGGGGTCTGGGGGCAACACCGCTTCTCCAGGAGGGCCTGCATTCTGCGTTTTCTCCAACAGGTGGCGCCTGGCTCATTCCTCCTGCCCAGGAGGATGTTGAACTGGGGAATAACAGCTGGATGTGAAAGTTTGGAGAAGGAGCTGAACTCCACCTGGCCTTCCTGCCAGTTAGCAAACTTTTTGCAATTCCCTCTAAGGAATGACCTCCTTCGTTTCTTTATTAGGGACCCACATTTCTCCCCTTGACTGAGATTTAAAAAATAGATGATTATCTGTGGTTCGATGGGAGACCAGAGGGAGACCTCAGGGTTACAGGCTAGACAGGGAAGGGACGGGGGAATCCTTAGAAGAAAGCAAAGGTATTCCACTTTTAATACAGCAAATACTCTACAGAGAGGCATCTATAATATCTCTTGGAGCTGATTGTGATTCAGGGACATTGTAAACCTTTTTTAGACTAGGATAGGATAGGATAGGATAGGGTAGGGTAGGGTAGGGTAGAGTAGAGTAGAGTAGAGTAGAATAGAATTTTTTATTGACCAAGTGTGATTGGACACACAAGGAATTTGTCTTGCAGATGACACTGAACGGAAACAATAATAAGGATATAATAAATAATGCTAGGATATGATATACTGGTATACTAGATTCTGTAACCATTAGGTTCTTGTAATACACATATGCCTTTGTATTTGTATCACATATATTATGCCTTTATATTTGTATCTCCTGTAACAAACATATTCTGTTATTAGGCCTGTAATGTATCTGGTATTTGTCAAACATATGTCCCTGCCATTTGACCTGAACCCATATCAATCTTCTCCCTGTTTCTTTCTTGTGCCATCTAAGAGCATGGTACGTATCTCCAAGGGATAATTTACACCTCAGTCCTAATTTATGTTGATCTGGATAGACTCCTACTTTCCAGGGCCAGGGGGCCTAAGAGGCCAATTGAGTAAACAAAGAAATGCTCAAGATGACTAATTGGGAAGTTTCTATTCCCCCTTGCAGGGCAACAAGGAATGCAGGGGCCTGGATTGGGAGGCCAGAGTTGGGTACTAAGCTGACGTCTCTGAGGGTATAAAAGGACGCCATACCTTCCCCAAGGTGTGGCTATCTCCTCGCATGCATTGTATCTGTATGTTCTGGATATAGTCCCACCCAGTATTTTGTTTTTGGCCATAAATAAAATCTGTTTTTTTTGCAAGCCTCGTCTTGAGTCTCTCTCTTTGGCATTCTGGTGACTCAAGTGTATTTTGGGACCTTACAACACTAAACTGGCAGGAACAGCCAACAGCCCAGAAGACAAGCTCAGGATCCAAAAAGATCTCGACAGACTTGAACAATGGGCCCCATCCAACTACACGAAATTGAATGTGGAGAAAAGCAAAGTTTTGCATTTAGACAGGAAAAACCGAAAGGGACGAGTACAGATTAGGCGAAACCTGGCTCCAAAACAGGAACTGGGAGAGGGACCTTGGAGTCCTCGTGGACGATCCCTTAAACGTGAGCCAGCCGTGTGAGGCAGCAGCCAAATAAGTTGATACGATCTTGGATTGCATCAACAGAGAGATAGAATCAAAATCACATGAAGTGTTAGTACCGCTTTATAAAACCCTAGAAAGGCCACACACCTGGAATACTGCAACCAATTTTGGTCACCAAACTACAAAAAAGATGTTGAGACTTTGGAAAAATTTCAGTGAAGAGCAACTAAAATGATCAAAGGCCTGGAGACTGAAATATATGAACAACAGCTGCAGGTTTTGGGTTTGGTTAGTCTGGAAAAAAAGAATTAGGGGGGACTTGATAGCAGTCTTCCAATATTTCAGGGGCTGCCACAAAGAGGAGGGGGGTCAAGCTATTCTCCAAAGCACCAAAGAAGGCAGGACAAGAAGCAACGGATGGAAACTAATCCAGGAGAGAAGCAATTTAGAACTAAGGAGAAACTTCCTAACAGGACAATTAACCAGTGGAGCAACTTGCCACAAGAAGTTGTGGGTGCTCCATCACTGGAGGTTTTTAAGAAGAGAATAGACAGTCACTTATCTGTAATGGTAAAGGTTCTCCTGCTTGAGCTAGAAGACCTCCAAGGCCCCTTCCAGCTCCTATTCTATTCTATTTTTACTTGTCTTTCCTCTCTGAACTATTTATTATTATTTATATTTATTAAGAATTTTACATAAAGTAAAAGTCACATTAAAGAAGAAAGAAGAGAAAGAGAAACAGAAAGGAAGAGAAAAGAAAAAAGAAGACAAAAAGAGGAAGGAAGAAAAAGAAAGAGAGAGAGAAAGAAAAAAGAAAGAAAGAAAGAAAGAAAGAAAGAAAGAAAAAGAAAGAAAGAAAAAGGAAGAGAGAGAGAAAGAGAGGGAGAGAGAAAAAGGAAGGGAGGGAGAGAGGGAGGATAGAGAGAGAGATAGAGTGAGAGAGATTACACATGGTGACTTACATTATACTTACTCCTTGGGCTCTTCCCATTTGGATGACTGCAATGCCCTCTGCATGGGTCTGCCCTTGAAGATTCTAGAAGATCTCTCAGAAGCTGCCATTGGTCCAGAATTTTTGGGCTCTTCTAGTTGACTCATATCACACCTCTCTTGGGCTCCCAGGATCCTTCCAGGTGCCATTCAAAGCCCTACCCACCAGCACAGGACAACCAAGGTTATCTGCAGGAGCTTCCCTCCTTGAAGGCATCTGCCCGTCCTTCCACGCTCCAGGTGCCTTCCCTAAAATCTTGCCACCCAGTGGGACCTCAGAAGTGTGCCTTTTTGTCTCTGCCCCTCCCTTATGGCCAAAGGAGCTTTTTCCAAAAGGCAGCTGGACTTCCTTGCTTTCTTTTTGCTTTGAAAACATTTTGCTTCTCATCGGGGAAGCTTTCTTCAGTTCTAACTGTTCTAGCTTCAGCTAGAACGGAAGAAGCTTCTCGGATGAGTAGCGAAACCTTTTCAAACAAAAAAAAAAAACCACAAGAAAATCCAGTTACCTTTTGGAAAAAGCACCTTTGGGACAACCATGACCTGGATGACTGAGGATCTC